CGCATCCATCGCATAATCAACCTCAGTTCGCCCGCATAATTTACCTCATCGCATCGCATAATCCTGGACACCCTACCGTAGACTTTCCGAATCTTTATTGGCTATCATGTCAGATGATCTTCATCAAATCTGATTGGCTGATTAAATATTAATACTTTAATTTTTTAAAAAATCTTCAATAACTCAAAATTTTGGTTATAATAACCTTTATTTCTAATCCTAGCTAATAACCCTAACCTTAATTTTTTTATTTATTTGATAATCATTTTTATGTTATATGTTGAACACCACTGGTGCATTTTATTAAACTTGTTACAAAAAAAAATACACTTCACTATGCTTTTATTTTTTATTTTTTTTTGATAAACTAGCCTTTTTGGAGCTAAGATTTTTATTCAAGTACTGAACAGGGAGGTTTACAATGAAGTCCTCTTATATTAGAGAATATATCAGTCACACGATATATCACAACTAAATTTTTTATATATAAAATTATAGAGCTGTGGCTTGAGCCATGACTCATAATTGATACGTGATCACTTTCCAGCTATTAAAACTATGGCTACTAGAGTCACTGTTTGAGCTATGACTCAAGTTATGGCTCGAACCATAGTCCCAATAGTCATAGCTCAAGCTGAAGCCATAGTTTTTAGGAGCCAAGCCAAGCCATCCAAGCCGATAATAACCCTAATGAATAGGGACCCTTGAGTTAGCTTGTTTCATATGAGTGACGGCAAGAGAAAATCTGTAAATCATGCTTTTGAATATTTACTTTTAATTAATTGAGCATCTAAGATTTTAATATCATTTTATTAAGACAATTCTTAAGATATTTTTATTGAATATAATAGCACGTAATTTACTAACAATAACAGATTCATTAATCACACAATTGGAACAAACGACATACATAAATGGCCTAGTGAAGTCGACTCAAGGACCGGGTTCGACAAGCTTTTTAACAGCCCTAGTATCGCCGCATTCTGGATCAACTTCACCGTGAGAATGTTACGTAACGATGGCTTTTTTACTTAAATAATGGTGTTTTTTTTTTAAATCGGGAACACTATTTTATCTCTTTTAAATATACATTTCACCCGGGCAAAACATTCATTTTTGATACTTTTACGCCTACTTTTTTGATACATCCAAATATACCAATAAAATTGTACGTTATTATACAAGTTAGTAAAAAGTATAGAAATTTTAGGGTATGTTTAGGCGTATCAAAAAAAGTATCAAAAATGAATGTTTTGCTTCATCCGGATTAAAATCACCTGATAATCACGGTGTTTTACGCGTGATTAAAATTAATAGTAACGGCTTGGAGACTTTAAACCAGGTTAAAATAAAATTTTCCTTTTTTTTTTTTTTTTTTTATTTATGCAAAAAATAAAACATAATGTGAGAGTGCCAAACGGAAATTCCGTTTATTATTGCAGATTTAATTGTTTGGGATAATAACCAACTCAGCCGAATTAAAATTATCGACTCGGCTAAGCTTATAAATTTTTAGTTGACTATAACCACTAATTATACTTATAAATTAAAATTACTCATTTGCTTTTGCTCGCTCAAGTGCGGATATATGTGCATCAAGAGTTGAAAGAATGTGATCCCAGGAAATAAAAATTTCCGATAGTATATTGACCTAAAGAATTATTCGAGTTTTGATCAAAGACAATATAGATGAATTTAGTAAATTTAAAGGAAATCCAGTAATTGATAAAGGATACAAATATATTATATTTGTCCAACAAAAATGTTATGTGAGCAGAAGCTTCGTCAGCTCTAGCCACTTGGTCTACGTGACTGGTTTCAATAGGTGTAACCTGAGGAAAGAGCTTATCGAGTCCTTAATAAAAATAATAGTTTAACCGATGACAATTTAGATAAATTAACATTTCACATGAAATTATATCGATCATTATACGGGAAATTTAACCGACCTTTGAATTCTGGAGCATCTATAGATTCTTGCAAATCCTTAATTTGTCCTAAATTTTCGGCTACTAATTTTAATTCTTCCGCAGAAGAACAAACGATTTCAGCTTTAGCCTCAGGTGTAAGTATAACTCTCTCCATTGCGAGTGCAGAATCTTTGAAGGGAGAAACGAGGTCCGATACCTGGTCGTCTGTTAGCATAATGTAATTTTTATAAATAAGTTATTAGGAAAATAAAAAAAAGCAGTCAACTATCTTTAAGTGCACGATCTCTAAAGGTAACGCTCATAAATTCTCTCTAGATGCAAGGTCTACAGTATATAAATACTTTTTCTAAATGCAAGATTTCATTCTTTTCAAGTCCAGCAAGTTGCATTTAGATGGGATCGACTATACAGTCCTACTGAAGTGAATAGCCAAAACAAATAAATAGATATTTACAAATCTCGAGGAACGATTTCAAACCGTCAGCCTCATCACGTATAATGGTATTAAACTCCTTCTTGATCTCATCAACTCGCTTTAGTAATGTCAGTTGCTCCTTCAACTTATCATGCGCTGACA